TAATCCCAGGCCCTGAAGATGATCTCAATAAAGATCGAAACGTTGGCACGATAAAGACAATGTTTTTCTGAAACCTACATCACACCAGACCGCATCTCACGATTTCTGAATAATCATCGACTAACGGTCACTAATCACCACACATTAATTATTAATAAATTGATGGGAAGAATGAGGCTGTTTTAGCCTGTATAATTGTTGGTTTGATTTTTGATAGCTGGAGACGGACGTAGACTTCATCATCTAGTCAGCTTCGGTATTTAATTATGGTAGCTGTATACATTGAAAAGCAAGATTCGCATAGTTGTGGCAAATGGAAATAGAACAAGCTTTGCTTTTTCAACGAGCGTTTGAAATTTTTTGTTTTCCAAACGGAGTCAAAAATGAAGGTAACTATCGGACTCGAAGGTAGATTTCAAGGTCGAGTCTGATGTAATGCCTATCAAATATTCGCATTCACTTTAAGGTAGATTGGTTGGCTTTGTCGAAATTGAAAACGGTTTGACCACCCATTCCGTGGTATTGCAGCAATGTATCTCCAACTGTTGGGAAGTAGTGCTCAAAGGACATCTCCAAACTTCGAAGGTGTTCACGTATTTCTTCGATCAACGTGCCGTTCGCAGCTCCAGTTTGCTCTTTAAAAAAAATCACTCTCCCTCTTCCTTCTCAACAGATTAAACCCAAAACTAGATTTTTCTTTTGAAGGCGTGAACTTTGTCATTAGCATCGAAAGTTGTATACTCTTCCCATGCAAAGAAAGACTCATCTCATTCATTTTAATGAAAATATCTTATATAAATACGACAATATAAATTGTTATTTCTCATCACTGAAAACGTCGGCCAATTTGGAATTGTGATCCATCAACAGAGATAAGACTTCAGAACGTAATTCTGACTTCTGCATGGTTAGCTTGGGAATGATGAAGGCTTGCAGGTGTGCCACAAGGGTCATTACTCGCTCCCCTGTTGTACACAATTTTTACTTCTGATATGCCCACAAATGAGAATGTACTTACCGCCACATACGCAGATGACACGCCATATTATCAAGCCTCTTCTACACAAGCTTCACTTATGTTACAAAGTGTACGATTACTACTCCATATATCAACAATTGAAAAATGGAGCAATCTTTGGAAAATAAAGTTTAACCCCTCAAAGCTACAACATATCACTTTTACACTCCGTCGTGTGACTTGTCCTAGTTAAAAAGTTAACTATTATTTACATTGGATAGAAGATTAATAACTTGGAAACTATTAAAAAAATTAACTCTTTTCTATTCAATTAATTTATCTTTATGTAAGGTATTGGTTGAGATAAAAAAAGCCTGTGTCACGAGCAGGATTCGAACCCACGACCCTAGCTAAACACGGCGCTGCTGTAACCATTTGAGCTGTCGTGACTTCGATCCGAGTGGACACCAACTTCCCGTATCAATACCACTTTTTTTTTTTAAATTTTCCTTCTATTTTCTGGTTTTTAATGTGTTCACAGCAAGTGAGTAGGAACTATCTTTTTCTAAAGATAGAACAACATACTCACCCCTACCAATATTAACATCAAAACTTTCGACATACACATACTTACTCAAACCTATTTTGATGTACGTTTGCCAAGTTTATAGATCGGCCAAATATTCCAATATTCTAACATTACAAATTTTCAATCCAAAATTTTAGGCTAATTGTTTCTCGCGTTTCTGCCCCTTTTTACGTAAACGATAACACACTTCATAGAGATCTTCACATGCCAATAGTTTTTTTCATACATCAAAACATATAACTTACATTTTCATGGTAAATTACAAATGTGTGGTATTTAGGAGTTACTTGATTGTTTGGAGGTCATGAGATGCGGTCTGGTGTGACGTAGGTTTTAGGAAAACATTTTTTTTATCGTGCTACGTTTCGAGCATTATTGAGATCATCTTCAGAACTCAAAGCGTTTGTTTTGGGGCGTCGGTGGCCGCAACGGTTTAGGCGTTGACACGGCGCTCATCACTGTAAGGTAAAGGTCCCGGGTTCGAATCCAGCGGCACTGCATTCGAACCCGACATACTTACAAACGGGCTTTTTTTTCAAAAACACCAGCACCCCGAGGGTTGATATAACATCTGCTGTTGCGAACCCTCGTAAAAAAGTGTTTGTTTTCCGTGTAGAAGTGTCGTTCTTCTCTGTGTTGAGAGTGGGCATTCACCTCTTAAATGATTAATCCAGATCGGGTACCAATGAGTACCTTTCTCTTGTACGCCCGTAATGCCACAAACATAAATTGAAATCCAATCTGCTGGTTGTATATAAAACAGATACAGTCGTAGATAAAAATAAATGAAGGAAAAAAAAAGGTTGCATCTTTTTTTATTTCTTTACAATCTGTGCCATTTTTTCTGATAAAACTTACCGCGATGGGAGCAGACATATCACTATGATATGTCACTTTTGGCGAATGGAGACAGTGCGTTTCCCGGAATTCAAAAGTGACACACGGTGCTGCCTAACAGTTAAAAGTCCACTTACAGTGATCATTTATCCCGTAGCATACCCGAACACTTCAAAAAAACTAAATAATACGTTTTTTTAGAATTTTTCGACTTGTGTTCCTTTTCAGATATGCAGAACACTGTCAGGTGCCATCAATAGACGATTTTATTAAATAAATTTTTTAAAAATTCCTGAGGATCCCTTCAGCAAGAAAAACCATCAGCTCGTTGGTCAGTGCACAGACAAAGGAAAACTGAAAAACCCAGACTTCTGCTGGACAGGTTTTTTACATTTAACTTCGTACAATCTTCTAATTTTCACGTTTCCGATCTATCACCCGCAAGCCATGTGGAGATATCTAACAATTTTATTAACATATTTTTAACTGTGCTGTTTTTTTTAAAATTATATATATATATTTTTTTTTGTAATGAGGTGGAATTACTTTTTTGTTTAATCAATCACTTAATTTAGGCTTTTATTATATTTTATTGGGTATAACAGTTTTTTTAAATTACATTATATGTATATATAAATTTTTATTTATTTTTTGTTATAGTGAGGTGGAATTACTTTTTTGTTTAATCAATCACTTAATTTAGGCTTTTATTATATTTTATTGTGTATAACAGTTTTTTTAAATTACATTATATGTATATATAAATTTTTATTTATTTTTTGTTATAGTGAGGTGGAATTAATTTTTTGTTGAATCAATCACTTAATTTATGCTTTTACTGTATTTAATTATATTTTATTATGTATAACATAAATATTGAATAATAAATCCAGCGTGTATTCAGCATGTAGAGAAAGGCTGTTCAATGTGTCTCACTTAATTGGCCTATATCGACCCTTTCTTGGCTCCATATAGGGAGCGTGCAGGCATGCCACCCAATATGACAATTGTGCTTGAACCAGCAGCATTTGGGACCCAATTTTTGTGGGAAACAGGGTTGTTTTGAGTCCACAATTGTGTGTCAAGAGCGAATGTATTTATTGGCGTGAATGTGCAGCGTGAGAGTGTGGATGTCAGAATTTTGAGTATCCCATCGACCCTTAATTAGATTAGTTGTATATAATGTTGTGAAGGGTGATGGAGAAATCCAGTAAAACCTCCTGATTGAAGTTATGTAGAGAGTAAAGAATGTATTTAAGAGTGAATTTAGAAGTTTTTAGTGGGGGAAAAAAACCAGTATTATTGTGTAGTATTTTGACACAAAAATCTCAATCAGTGCATGGCAAGTAGTGTTTTTATTATGAAAAGACATGTACGACAAATTTTACTTTTTTCAAAATTACATCTGATATCTTGAAAAACCTGACGAGATTTTTTAAAATATAAGAATCATCATTGTCAGGTTCTTTTTAAAATTTACATTTACTTTCTTTTTGAGGGTGGGAAGGTGGTAGAGGTTGTAAATAATACAGATGATGTTCCATTCATAAAATATAACATAATATAATTTGTTTTTGTACATATTCCATTCTGGTTGAAATATAGCTTCTCATAACGTATTACTATTGTTTAAAAGGAGGAAAACAAAAAAATAATAAAAATAAACACATATACACCTTCATTTATTTCATATCTATTTCTTTCTTAATAATATCTTCAGTCCAGTCACAAATATCAGTTTGTTTAATTTTCTTTCAAATATAATCTATTACAATGCACATACAATTAATCTAAAAAGTTTGTTAGATCTTAAAAATTGTACATTTCTATATATAGCAAAAGTTTTTCCATTCGCTTTTTTTTATTTTAATTTTTTTTTTTATAAAGTTGGTAACATTTCGTGCAATGTTATTTCTTTATAATTAGTTTTTTTAATATATTTTTCAAAGAGACATAATAATATATATAATTTATATATTTATGTACGAGGTAGGCTCTGTCAATAACAAATACCTTTGTTCTTAAATAATTCACTCCTATTGCACATTAAATTAGTCTAGTTAAACTGGTCGACTCTTTTCCTAAACAAATTTCCATACCTCGTCACTTCCCTATTATTTGAGGCTATAGTTCATTCTGGTATTCCTTTTTCTTTCAATTATATTAAGTTAATTTAAGCCACTTTCACAAGTCTATATTTACGTTTTTATCTTACATTTTTATTTTATATAAGAAAATCAGTAGAAAAGTGTTACAAATCAAAGTAGAAAGTTTCATTAGGAAAAAAATCAAGCCCTGAAAAAGGATTCTTTTCTTTTTCTTTTTAATTTTGGCAGTGTAAGTTCAGCACATGGCAGTACTTGTAACTTTGTAAAAAACACCTATTAAATTCTATAAAAATTTCCTATTAATGAAAAAGTAGATAAACGAACAGTTATTACTAAATGGATTAAAGGGTTTTTTTTTTGTTTAAAGGCAACCAAAAAGAAGAATCCTTTTCGCTTGATTTTTTAAAATAACAACTATGGCAGTGGAGGGTCTTTTATTGAGTTTTATTTATATTCTTTTAATCTAAAAGAACACAGTTTTTAAAAAAATGACAAATGCAATTATATTATCATAACATTCAAACATCGAATAATTGCATATACATGATCTTCATATCGATTTATCGACTCCTCCCATAAAATCTATTTAGACAACGGTAACGTATGAAACAAGAACAATCAGATTAATCCAAATTAAGTTACAGAATTTTACTAATATATATGTTTTTAAACCAGCATAAATTAATTCAATTTAAAAAAAATTTCAATTCCTATTTTAAAATCATTGTGTAAAATATTCTGCACAAAATAAACATTTACTATTTAATTGTTTTCATACAGTCTTACAGGCTTGCTATGGCAATATTATAGTATAATTTTTCTTAGTTAACATTTAGTAAAAATTTTCATGTTTTATTAAAAATTTGTATTAGAACAAAAGACAAAACACACATCCATTATGTAATGGCCCCCAATTCATTCTAAGTATCCAACTTTTTCTTTCTTAATTATAAAACTGGTGATATTTACAATTGGTTTTAACACGAATTACAATAGCTGAATACAAATTAAGTATTTTCGGAGTCACAGAGCGACTGTAATTGACAGAACGAACGCAAAACCTAAAGCTTCTCATCTATTACGGACGGCTATTTACCTATACACAAGAAATCAAAATTCACTAATATAATTTGTATTTAATATATAATTAATATATAACTTTTTAACTACAATTTGCACATCATAGCACCTGAGCAAACCGACTTGTACTGTCCGGTGCCAGAGGCGGTGGGTCGAGGCTTGCCCCTCCCGCCTCCGAAAACGAGCCGGTTTACGGTTGAGCGGTGCGCATAAACAAAGGCACCTAATCCAGTTAAAAATGTCCCAGTCTTAGTTAAGAAATAGCCACCTACTAACATAAACACAGGGCGAATTTTCTCTTAAAACCCAGAGCGAAATTTTCAATTTTACACTCATTTGTTTGTACGATTTGGCGGAAAGAAAACAAGAGCCAGAGGCCAAGTACTGTATTACAATGTGACAAAGGAAATGTGAACAAGATATTTTATGATATATACACTTGAAATAGATAAATGTTTTAAAATAAGAGTATAAATTGTAATTTTGACTTACTTTGATGCAAAAAAATGATTAGAAATTAAAAAAAAAAAAAAAAAAACCATGCTAAAATTTAAAATATGTTGACAAGAAGTGTTCATTTTGATATTTTTAATGAAGTAATAATGCTTATTTTGAATGAATAATTAATGAGTTTGAAACTTTGGTGAACTGTTCGTCTCATCCTGTCATGAAGAATTGTTAAAAAAAAAATTGTTGTTAAAGTAGATGGCTCAATTAATCTAAAGAGAAAAACAAATTACAAAGATAATAAGAAAATATTCCATCAGAAAAGATTATTTTAAAAATTGATTTTTATTAGTAAAATTGTTGTTATTTAACAAATATATCTCAGTATGTTAAAATAGAAATAAAAATTAGAAGCTCTAAATTTTAAGGAAAAGCTTTCTTTTCTAGAAATTGGACACCCTGTGTTGTTTTATTTAATAAACTTTGATTATTTATACTATATACACACAATAAATGATAACTTTTTCAATATATATATTTATTTCTCTCTCTGTACTCTTCCATTCAATTTCTCAATAATAATATTCACACTATAAATTATTTACACAGGTATAAATATCTGTAAAATAAATATTGCCCTTAATTTGTATTTAATTACAAAATAAAAGTAATGAAGTGAAAACAAGAAAACAAAATCAATAAAAGCCTATTTTTCATTATTTACAAAGAAAAAGACCCTCAAACAATTTTTTAAAATATTTTTTTTCCATTTTTTTATTTGTTGAACTATTCTCTATTGTACAAAGTACAGATAAAAATATGTATGTATAATACTCACAGCCAATCGTGTATGGTGAAAATTCACCATGATTAGAAAACAAATATAAAATAAAAATCAATTCACAAAATTCACAACCATACCTTCAAGTGGAAACCAAATTTTCGTTGCTAATCCTATCTGGGTTTATTGCCATTTGGTGTGTATGTGTTTGTGTCCAATTACTCCTATAGCAATTTCACATTTTATTTATTTTTTTAAATTCCAATTAATGATTAAGAAAATTTTCTACTAGTATTAAATTATAACTAATAATAATTTTTTTTTTTCATATACAATCAATCATTCCTATTTTCTATAGACAGAGAAAAAAAAAGAAATTTATCATTGCATACGACGCTGCAGATTGCACAACCCATCTTAATACGGGGTGCCAAAGGTAACCTTCCCCTATTTTTACGTACATTAAAAAAAAGAAAAAGTCATTTGAACTTCCCACAATTTCTAGAAAAAGCAGTGTCTTATGCAGAAGTAAAGCCATTGTTTATAGGCCTTTTTCAATAAAAAATATTTAAAAAAAACAAAACAAAACCTTTTGTACATTTTCAGCACATATTGCTAACTTCAATTTCATGTTTCACACATAGAAAAGTTTATGGTTTTAAACCAAGTAGGTTTGGTCAAACAAGGTGTACTGGTAACGGTCTAAACACTTCTGCTTTGGGCACTCTCAGCCAGGAAACGTCTTCTGGCACGGATTGGGAAGAGCGGGCTTTGGCCCTGCCTCCCTCATGGGTTTACGTCCCAAATCTCGGCTAGGAACGGCGGTAGCTTCCTGTTCTGGAGCTTGAGCGAGAAACACATTTCGCTGTTTTGATTACCGAGAGTCCGTAGCTCGGTGAGCACTGAGAGCAGCTTGGCAAAAATGGTCGGTGATCGTGGCCTTGCCCTGTTGTCTACATAAGACTTAAGTGCTTCCAGATAGATTTCCTGGATTTTCTCGACTTTCCAACCTTCCGTTAATGACGGTCGTTCTGAAATTAAAAAATTATATATGTTAAACCATCATTTTATATATCCTTAATAAATTGTATTCAAGGAAAAAATCAAGTTTATAACAATGTTTAACCATAATTAAATTATTTTATATAGAAGAAACAAAAATTTACCCAATTACAAATTGAAACAGTTTATCAATTTTGAAAGTACATATTTATTATATTTTTAAAAGGAAAATTTACCAGAAAAGATGACGATCGCAGTGAGAAGTGCGTACTCAGCATTGTCAACTTTCATATTGTACATTTGCCTGCAGAACCTAAGTAGACCTTCTACAACATCTCCCATACCTGCCATGTTGTACGAGTCTCTGGTGTAAGGCTGGTTATTGGCGAAGAGGATGGAGTCGGACTGTGCGTCGTACCTCCTCGCCATTCTCAGCATCATCACTTCACTAGAACAGGCCTGGAAATAGTTTATCATTAGTTATGATTCTTTTTTTTTCTTCCCCAGCAGTATACGCCAATTTTAAGTGGTTTACTTTTAATAAGGCAATTTGGTCTTCTCTCAGCAGCTTGTCGAATCCAGGGAGCCTTTTGGCGAACTCAACGATTAGCTGAACTGTGAGGATCGTGATTTGGGTTATGTGACGGAACTTGAGATCACTCTGTTCCTCTTCATCATTTGGTGTGTTCTAAAAAAACAAAAAAAACTTCGTTAAGATTTATACAAAGACCAACAATTATTGTGCTATTAAAATATTAATTATTAGTTAATGGAGTGGATTTAAAAATTTCAAAAAAAAATCAATACTTACAATCCTACGAACATCCTCATCTGAAGGGTGTTCATATTCGTTTTGGAAGTAGACAAGTCGGTGGATAAGCTCTTCTTGCTCTGCACTGACTTGCTTAATACCATTAACAGCCACTTTGGCCAGTTCACCCTCAGTCTGAAAAAAAAGAAACTATTCAAATTCAATTTTAACTTTTTTAACCGAACAAAAAGTTTAAAAAAAGAAAAAAAATGCAAAAAACAAAAGACAAAACAGAATCGATGTTTGAAGCCCACAACACCAATCTGTTATGGTCTTCAACATTGACCTCTTCACACTGGGTTGTTAAATTATGCTTTGTTCATATATACCGATTGTGTTTGTGACTCTTTAATCATGGATTGAAAGAGACTTGATGTGTAACTGACCCTATGAGGTTCAGGTTCAACTTTGATGGCCTCGGGGGATCCATTTGTTGTCGAAACCGGCTTATCTTTGTCCTTCTGTGCCTTCTTTTCCTTTCTTTTAACTGCACACTGATATTCAGGTACCACGCCTAAATGAATTTTTTTTTTTATATTTAAAAGGGCACAAACAAATATAAACATAAAATGTTTAAATTATATTTAAAGCCGGTGTTTACTTACATTCTGGCCTCATGCCGACGGAGAGGCACTTCTTGAGCCTGCACTCCTGACACTTTCTCCTCATGTACATGTCGATCTCACAGTTGTTGCCATACTTGCACTGGTAGACGTTGTTCTTAGTGATGCTTCTGCGGAAAAATCCCTTGCATCCCTCACAAGTCAGGGCGTTGTAATGGTAACTGAAAAATTCCATAAGCAATTATTTTATTGTTATTTAGTCTATCTCATATATATTGCAACAACCAACTTTAGTATCGGTAAACATGTCATATTCTATATTTTTGAATAAAATTAATACAGAAAACATTCTCTAAACGTAATAAATGTTACAATTCTCCAGCCAATACAGGGTGAGTCGCTACTCATTCGACCAAGTTTTTCAACTGGTTTTGCACCTCAAATGGAATAAAAAAGTTCTTATGAACAATGATCCAATCACAACCCCTTCGCATATATTCAACATTTAATTTTTTTATACCAATCTACGGTTTTTGTCATAAATCTACTAATAATTCTTAAACTATTCATATTTTGGAAAATCCAAACAAAGGTATTGAAAAGAGCATTAAATTTCCTTAAAAAATAATTATTATTAAATAAAAAAATAAATTTTAAAACTTTCAATTTAATTTTTGATAAAAAAAAAGACTACATCTTTCAAAAACTGCTAAATTTGCAACTTTATGAGAAAAATTCACGATAGAGCTTGGCAAATTTCATAACTTTTTCATTTAATATGTTTTCTTGCAATAAACCCTTTTCTTTAATTATTTCGAACCAAAATTCAGAAATTTTATTCTAAATGGGAAAAATGTGACAATGTGAAAAAAGGGGAAATGGAGTTAATCTAATAATTCAATGTCTGGGCAAAATTTATTTCTTAATTTTAAGTTAATAAAAAAGCACAAAATAAAGAAAACTGAAACAAAACACATAAAAGAGACAATAAACATAGCGAACAACCAAAGCAGAAATATTGGACTAAATATCTACACTAAACACAAGCAAAAGAAAAAAAATTACAATACAGAAATTGAAAAACTCAACTTTAACCCAATAAAAAGCACAAAAAGAAAGAAAAATTCAACCTAATTTGGTTGTTCACTATATTTATTGACACTTTTTACTCCTTGAATCATATTTATCAGACAGAACTCTAGCCACAAAGGTTGGAACAGTTCATAGTTCTTCTTGATACTGAACTGGGAGTACCACAAGGTATAGTCTTAGGCCCAATTTTCTTTTTTATACATTAATGGTTTTTTGAAAATTAAATTCTCTGGAAAAATATTTAGTTATGCAAATGGTACTCGTATAATTTTTTCAGGTGATAATTTAATTAATTTAACTAAAAATATAAATAACAATAAGAAAAATATTAATTTTTAGGTAAACTCAAACTTTCTAGTTTTAAACAAACAAACACACACACACACACACACACACACACACACACACACATTAAAATTTGCCTTTCAGTGTTAGATATCTTGGTGTGACATTGGATTCAAATTTGAATTAGTTTAGTCTCCCGTCTGAGAAAGCTCTTTTATAAATTTAGAATTTTATGAAAACTGAACTTTTAAGGACAATATATTTTTCTCTGGCTCAATCCATATTAGCCTATGGTATTGTTTAAAATTTTTTTGTTGCATTTGAGGCATAGAATCACCTGACGAACTTTGTCGTACGACCCTGTATGAAGTTAATAAATTTGGCATAAATATAAGGTTTAGAGTTAGTTCAGCGTTTGTTGATAAACTAAATTGATAAAAATCGTGAATACCTATTGATTTTATCAAGAAAGAAATACAGACAAAGGAGGTTTATAATTCAAAAGGGAGGGCATTGCGATTTTTTGAAATTTACAAGCCCAAGCTTGATAAGAGGCGGGTTTTGAAAAAAAATCCAGGATCGCCCTGAGAGGAAGCAGATCTGTTCAAGGACCGGGAGGAAGGTCAGCTGAAACGGAGTTCAGTCAACCGCGGAAACAACACGCGGATCCACCACAGAGAACAACACGACATTACATATTTCCGAGGAGAAGGAAATGGTCGGACTGATCGGCGCGTTTCCTTTCTCAAACTGCACACACTCTACGGAAAAATATTTATTTAAACCTGTGAGAAGATTACACTTTACGCAAATTATTGTATTGCAGGCTCATTGCACATATTACAATTGGATACAATAAAAAGTTAATTGAATTAAAATGGTGATTGGGCTCGATGAAGGCAGACTAAATGCTAAAGCACGATGGATTGCATAAACAAAAATACTTTTTTTCAAATTTTTAATGCTGGAATTACTTACTGGAACCTATTTCATAATGAAGTACAAACTAATATATAATATAGTGCTGTAGCTGTTTTATTTCATAATAAAAAAAAGTACAATGTACAATGTAAAGTCGAAAGTACAAGAAAAATTATTTAAAATACAAGGAATTCCGTTACATAAACAGTCACTAATATTACAAATATTTATAAAATACCCGTGTTTATTTGTACTATTAATACAAGTCTCAAATCGCCTGTATTATCGTAATATTATTGCAAATTTTGAATGGTTAGATTTTGCTCCTACATTTCTTTATAATTATAGATTTACTTTTCAGTAGTGGTGGCGAACAAATTACTGTGGCTCGACACAATGATACTAGACTTGGAAAAACCTACAGAACATGGATCAATTTTAAATTGTTTTTAAATTTAAAGAACGGTTCAGTTCAAATATCATCGAACTCGAATACTGATGGAGAAAGGGCCAATAATAGAAAACCCTACAAGAAAATGCGTATCACTTCGGCAAAACAAACAATTGCATTGCAAAGCATGGTTGGAAAGTGGTAGAGCAAGTTCCACACTAGGTGACATGCATGGTATAAGTAGTGCTACCGTTAGTAGGTGTATAAAACGTGCGGTGAAAGGTAAATAATAAACGTCACCACAATTATAAATGCGTTTTTCCCCATTTAATATGTAGTTAACAGCAATAATAATAGCAGTAATAAGCAATAACAGCAACCGTTCGATTCACTAACTAAAGCAGCCTGTGTTGCTTGAAACAGAAAATGTGTTTGATCTCGATTTCCCTATCCAACCGTGCCGTTGAAAACAGAAATTATTGGTGCTCTTTTTGTAAATGATGGTTCTACTCACAAATATGTAGTTTATAACGATCCGGATTTAAAGGATTTCAAGCATTAAACGCTCATCATCAGTTTGAAGGAGTTAGAAACTCGTTACTCTTACAATTTATGTCGAGACGTGTCTGTAACTCCTTCAAACTGATGATGAGGGTTTTAATGCTTGAAATCCGGATGTTGTAAACTACAAATCTGTGAGTAGAACCATCATTTACAAAAAATGATTCTACATTTCACCCCATCCTTCATCATTTCTATTAATTCTTTTCTATTAATTAATCTTTAAGTAAGGTATTGGTTGAGATAAAAAAGTCAGTGCCACGAGCGGGATACGAACCCACGTCCTTCGGCTAAATACGCCGCTCCTCTACCATTTGAGCTATCGTGACTTCGATCCACTCGGACACCAACTTCCCATCTCAACCTTTTATCTCAACCAATACCTTACTTAAAGCTTAATTAATTGAAAAGTTAATTGGTCAATCGGACCACGAAACCTAATCGATTTAATAAGGAAAATGAAGTATACTTCACTAAAGCTATCCTTGGCCATTTCATTTGTTGCCGAGAATCAAATAGAAAAAAATGGCAAAATGTAGGGAAATTTAAAAAAAAAGTGAGGTTGAGATTGGAAGTTGGTGTCCGAGTGGATAGAAAGTCACGATAGCTCAAGTGGTTAGAGCAGCGGCGTATTTAGCCGAAGGCCGTGGGTTCGAATCCCGCTCGTGGCACTGATTTTTTTTATCTCAACCAATACCTTACATAAAGATTAATTAATTGAAAATAATTTAATTGGTCAATCGGACCACGAAACCTAATCGATTTCTATTAATTTTTACTTTTATAACGTACTTGTATATTTTAAGTAATACTATTGATAGCATTGTGAAATAGTACCCTGAGGGATTTATTACTGTACAAATGTTCCAAAATTATATCATTATTACATCCACAAAGCTCATTGCATTGTCAAAAAATGAGACGTAGTCTGATACTTCTGGTAATGATTACTTTTAAAACAATCCTTTTTGAATTGTAAACAATTTTAAATCACAATTTAAACTTTTGCTTATATTTTATTTAAAGGCTCACCCTGAAGCCCGGTCGCCGCAGACGAGGCAGAGCTCTTCCTGCTGCCGGACCGCCGTCCCTTTCTTCTTCTTCGATCCATCGCAGCTATCCGCCGAATACCCGTTGAGAGAATTGGGCGGTGATAAGTCTTCCCTTCCTGAAAAATGACAAAAGAATCAGTTTCAAGGATCAAAAACGTGCAATATATGTAAATATGAAGGGTGGCATGTGTTCGTTTATTTTAAAAAATAATTTGCTAATAAAGGATTATTTTGGCTTATTTCTTGTTAGATATGATTTCATCTAAATTATATTCACGAGTAGTGTAGTATGGCAGAAATATCAGAAAATATAATAGAATATGGCTGTTTGTTTATGGCCGGATCGTTTACAATGTTGTAATTCGAGGATATTAATATAAATTATTATATATTTCTTTAAATTTAAATCAGCAAAGATATTATTAATTGTAGAATCGAGGAATCCTGTGAAATAAGCACCAAATATTTGACGAGCTTTTGAATCTTTTCAGATCTAATTATTGTATCAACAGTGGGTGTGTATGTCTATCCAGGAATGTATCATTTCATAAGTGGGTTAATTTGTACTTTCGTTCGCCTATTGTTTCTGGTTTGGTCTGGTTCAGTAGATACAGCACTGAAGATGGCGAAATGCCGAAACCCAATAGAAAAGAGGAGACCGACTAGGTAGACCAAAAATGATCGGAAACGACCAAACTACAGGTTTCACCCAAGACGCCCATCGTTCCTACTAGTCCTACTAGCTTGTTATTGATAAGTTGTAAATAAATTTAAGTTAGTTTGGCTAAAACTTGAAGCACCGATTCATTGCAAGCATCCACAAACCATGCTGAACAAACCTACTACGGGCATTAGACGTACTCAGATTTAACTTCAGGTGATTCGAGTACCTTTTCACGGAGGTGTTTTAGGCTTGTTTTTTTACCATTTGGAAACCACTCTTTGATAACTCTCTTATCCACCGCTCCCTCGGGTCGTTTTAGATTGACAACCGACCGACAACGACAAGGAATTTGTCCTTAGCTTACGGCTCTCTTATTTTATAGATACCGGCCGGTATAACATTAGATACTTGGGTTTATTCAAACGGAGCTAAAAACAAGTCGGAGCTTATAAGTTATACAAGGGGCACTTTTGGTGCATATTTCCTTAATTGAAAGGTGGCTAATCCGCCAGAATTACGTAATATAAAAATATACAATCAAAGCTTCGATAAGAAAGAAAAAAACAACAAAGAACGATATATATGTTAAACTTGATTTTTCTCAAAATGCTCCTTTTGGTCCTAAACCACCCTCAAAGTTTCTGTCCCTGCTGGGAAAAAAAGGAGCGTGCATTTTCCTAGAATATTTTCATGAAACAATTCTCGAGTCCGTCACAGTCCTCTGGCGGAAATCAACGACCGTAAAGTAATCATGGCGAGGAAAAGTCACGTCTCAGTCGCAAACAGCTTTGGACAAAAAGTCTTCGATATTGCAAATTCTCTATTCTCACATCGCGACTACTTTCGTGGGGCGTTCAGGTCTCTTGTCGTAGACCGACATCGCTTCCCTCCGTTCGAAAATTACAATCCGCCATCAATTCCAATGCAGAACGGAAAACAGTTTTTAAATAGAACCTCAGTGACATCTGTTGCATACAGCGCACTTAAGTTAAGTGCATCCGGCATACTCCCTTTGACTCTTCAAGCTCGGTTCTGTTTAACATAAACAAGTGCGAAATAGACGAGAGTTATAAACGCAATAAAAAAAGAGTAAAAACGACTCATATAAAAAAAAAGTTTCATCATTAAAAACCTTTTTTTAGTTCGAGTAACTAACACTTATTAGCCGTCGTCCTTAGTTTATTCCCGATTAAAATGGACGAGTATGCCACAAATTGCCTAAAAGAAGTGTATAGTAATATGTCTAATATCCAACAAGCAACATACTGGAGAGAGAGAGAAGATGAGAGAGGGTGGGGAGGGAGAGAGGGGGAGGGAGAGAGAGAGAGAGAGAGAGAGAGAGAGAGAGAGAGAGAGAGACTGAGGGCGAGAGGGAGTGAGAGAGAGAGGGAGGGAGGGAGAGAGAGAGAGCGAGAGAGAGGTGTCACCACTTTCTGGAAACAAACAGAATTTATGAAAAGAAACAAAAGGAAGGAAGAAACGTACGATGATAAATATCATTTAGGTTGTTCTTCTTTTTGTATATTTCGGTTGATTATAGGAAATGTCATCCTTGAACTCTTCGTTGGACACTTCTTTTCTATCCTTATTATCCGGGTTTCTTGTATGTTAATCATATATTTTATACATAATTTAAATCATTCTCATTATTGTAACTGAAGTGTAAGGAAATCCAACTAAAGCTTCTGAACAAATTGAGAAAAAAATTATATCCCTAAATTTCCGGATATTTGTTAAGGTAAAACTTGACTTAAAACAATGCTCTATATGTATGCTTATTTTTCATTTTCAGAAAAGACTTTCTATACTACGCTAATATATCATAATGTATTTTATAATGAAAGTTGAACAGGTTCTATCGGTAATTAATTCGTCAAAAGATGTCAGACAACATTTGTAGCCTTGTAGAGATGTAGTGCGCGACGTGGGTCGAGCACAACGTCTTCTCAAGACCCATATTCCGATAATTTGCATAAGATGGCGCTATTCATATACTCGAGTTCTTTTAATCGAGCGGTGTTATGGTAGCCCACTTTTAGTAGCTCCACCCATTTTGCAAAAAACAAAAAAATTGTTCCTCCATCCTAGTTGGCAGAGTTTTGCATCTTGATTCGCGGCAGTTCACCTATCCCAGGAGCCCCCTCCCGTTTTCCTCCGCTTCCTATCCCCGGTGGAAGTGAGCGTGACGGCGGAGAGTGAGAGAGAGTGGTGGAATAGAGAGAGACCGTGGTACACAACTGGGATCGTTGAGCGTCCTTGACTCGGGACTAGAATAGGAGCCGGTCGTGGGGAACGTACTATCCACTTGTTACTCGCAAACCTCTCAACAAGCCTGCCTATAACTCCGGGGGGGGGGGAGCAACATCTCTAAAACCAAGTTGCCATTGAAAAGCTCGTTTTTGGACCGGACTTGGTAGTCAGACATTGATACGGGCCGAGGAAAACGCGAAGAGCACAAAATCTATACGACTCTGCACTATTTTATCCTAGTTTTGTTAGTCTGTCGCCTTTACTGTGAAAGTCTCGCCGTTTCGCTGATATTTTAACCCGAGAGGTGATAAAATTTTTGCATCCGTCCATAATCATGCCTAGGGAAACTATTTTGCACACCTTATAACAACTAAATTTAAAAATATTCCTACTATACCTCAGCACACCGACCAGGTTTGCAATGACGTGTCACTTCTGTAGTGACTGGCAGTATGTCCAGTCCGTTTCGTCATTGAGTGTTCAAGGGTCGGATTTGTGTTGTTGGACCAAGCGATGAAAGTATAGAGAAGGTGCCAATTTAGACCTGTTTTTTGTAGGAATAAAATAAAAATAAAATGAGGATGAGGTTTCATGAGGCTAGTCGCCATAAGTCAGTTTCGCAAGGGTTTGTATCCAAAACGAGTTCCTAAGTTAATCAACTGTCAATGACTAACATAATCCATTTATGTTTTGACCATATTTATTATTTCCATTAATTATTCTTTTTATGTAAGGTCTTGGTAGAGATGAAAAAGTTAATGTCACGAGCGGGATTCGAACCTACGACCTTCGGCTCAATAAGTTACATAAAAAGGATGACTAACATAATATAGGAGAATTGCTGACTTTTAAAAATGATTAAGGCAAAATTCAGTTTTTATAAATTCACACATTTATTAAAAGTCTATGCTAAAGTTCAATAAAGTGTGAGCTACATTACAGTTGCTGCGGTCATCACTACGAAAAAATTACGATCTTTCCCTTGATCGAGATTTAACGAGTGTTGAACTTAAAAAAAAATCGAAATCCAAATAAAACACTCGAAAATCTTCACAACTCCGATAGTAATGAAACTGCTCAAAATAATCAACGATCACATTAACATTTTTCAACTCAGCCCCTGGTATATTGGCTACAAGAGAAAATAGTACTTTCATCTTTACAGGAAAAGATACTTTCAAGAGGTTTCTTTAATTTTCAAAGTTATGTTTTGACGCAGCACAGATGTCTAGGAGACGGCCGACTTCTTTGTCTGAGGAAGAAGGATACGACTCGAGGTGCATATTAAGTAACTAAGTCAACTTCCTTCATAAGTCATAAGTTCTCGACGTGGGGTAAAGATGACTTTTTAGTGACCCACGAGCGGATAAACATTTTTCCAACTGCGAAACGACCATCAAACAGACAGCTTAATTCGGCGAAACACCCTTTAAAAAAATAAAAGGTCAAATTCAAAAGTAACCTCTTGATATCCATTATCACTAAAATTTCTCTTTCTCCTCAGTGCGGTGAGCTTACAAGGTCACAGTTGGCGAGCGTCATATTTCTTTTTCCTTTCGGAGCTTTGTTTCATTCCTTTCGAACCGGATTGCCGAGGTGCCGGTCCTCGGAAGGGGAAATCAATTTGATTCGCAAGTGTACATAAAAGTGACCCCCCCCCCTCGTAGAAGGAAAAAACTTTCGGTAGTTGCGATACCGTCAAGGATTCGTCCCAAGGGAAAAACGAATAACGATTGTGCACGTCTTAGGATAAGATAACTATTTCCGATTCGGGCATAATCCATCAGGTGACACGTTTCACCTTCGATATCGCCCATTCTATGAAAATTAAATGAACCACTCAGATAATCAGAGATATAATCTACGTGGAATTTAAATACAATTCAAAGTACTTTCCATCCCTTCAACACATAAAGGTTTATTTCGACTATATTTTACATTTTAAAGATGTAAATTATTACAATTAATGGTGACAGCAGTGCCCGAGTGGTTAGGGCGTCCGACTCGTATAACACGCTAGCGGTTCTGGGTTCGAATCGCGGCAGTGCCCATGGTTTTTTAATTGTTTATAATATGAAAAAAGTATTGTAAAATGGTTTGACTTCTCTTTTGCGACACCCAACTGGTAATTGGACGTTAAGCCCTCCTTCATGACAAGAAAACAATTAATGAATATATTATTAGATTTAATTAGATTAGAAG